CAAGAACCTTGCTAGGGCAGTGGTTCTCAAAGGTGGGGGGGAGGAGGGGCCCCTGGATCAGCAGCATCACCTGGGAGCTTATTAGAAATGTAGATTTTGGGGCCCCACCCCAGACCTACTGAATCAGAAATGCTGGATGTGGAATCCAGCAACCTGTGTTTTAACAAGCCCTCCAGGGGATTCTGCTGCTCGCTAAAGTTTGAGAACCCTTGTGCTAGAGGTCTCTTCTTTCTGCTGCTAAACCTTCATCCAAGGGCAGAGGGGTCCTCTGGCATGCTAGCTCCCTGACCTCTGAGTCTTGTATTCACTTACCCTTCAGCAAGGAAGCTCTCAGCTCCCAGCCAAGGAAGAAATGTTGGCACCTGCCCTCAGATCTCAGTGGGGGTAAGCAACACGCCCTCCCCCAAGTCTTTGTCATTTTTAGTCTCTGGCTCCTTTGTTGTCTGGCCTGAAGGAGGGGCTGAAGACCTTTATTTGCTGCTGTGTGTGATACTGTCAGTCACTCATCTTCTGCTTACCTTGTGACTTCTAACGATGCCTGTACTTATTCACGCTGGATATATGGCATCCAGGGCCAAGTTAGGAAGTAGGCAGAATTTATGTAGGGTTGGTGGTGCAATGGTTATATGCTTGGCTGCTAACTGAAAGGTTAGTGGTTCGAACCCACCAGGCAGCTCTGCAGGAGAAAGACCTGGCAATCTGCTTCCGTAAAGATAGTTGTTGTTGCTGTTATGTGCCGTTGAGTTGATTCTGACTCATAGAGACCCTATAGGACAAAACAGAACTGCCCCATAGCAGTTCCTAGGCTGAAATCTTTACAGATTTCATGGGGTCACTATGAGTTGGAATCAACTTGAGGGCACCTAACAATGACAACAACAGCAACCCTGCCAATCCTGAATCCTGCCCCTGTTCCTTTTCCCATCTTATGTGCCCCTTTTTGTCCTGCCTATACTAGTACCAGGAGTGAGTGGGTGTCAGTCCTTTACCTGTCACTTAAATTTAAGTTGGTGTCCTTCCAAGGAAAAGGAGCCCTAGTGGTGCAGTAGTTAAAGTGATCAACTGTAAACCGAAAGGTCGGCAGTCCGAAACCACAAGTGGCTCTGGCTCTGTGGGAGAAAGATGTAGCAGTCTGCTTCCGTAGAGATTTACTGCCTCAGAAACCCTACGGGGTTGCTATGAGTCAGAACCAACTTGATGGGCAGTGGGTTTTTTTGGGTCCTTTCTGGGAGGTAGAATTTCCAGTCTGTTTTTTCTGAGTGGAAGGGAAGACTATCCCTAGGAAATACATTTGGAGCCAGGACAGGATTTATGAAGCCGCAGTCCTTCCCTAGCAGAGCTACTACCATACAGCTCCTTGTGCAAATAAGAAGAAAGTGCCACTTTCCAGGCCGACGTATATATTGATGAGCAGAGCGAGGGCTGGGTTTCAGCTCCCATTTGCCATTTCAGCCAGGTGTTCTTGTGCAGTAAACAACTTGGACAACTGTACTCAGCGACCCTGCTCCTGCTGGCTGCCAGGGGCCTACAGCACAAACCTCCCAGTTGCCGTTTCACCCTAGGGAGACCAGAGTGCTCACTTTCCGTGCCCTGTTTATTCTTAGTGGGACTTGGCTGGGATCCATTAACTAATGCCAAGGGGTGGTTTAGAGGTAGAAGGACTCTAAGAGGTTGTCTAATCCAGTGTGCCCATTGTACAGATGAGGAAACAGGCTCTGCAGGTTAGTGTGGCATTGGGCAAGTTGTTGTTAAGACTCTTAAAACAGCCCATCTGTTATATGTTGAGCATTTGCTTTGTGCAGCAGCGTTGAACAAGCGTTCATCCTCCTTGTTTACAGATGAGGGAGCTCAGGGAAGCCGGCAATTGGCCCAAGCCCACACAGTTGTCTCCCCCCACCCCCAGCCCCCACGGGCCCCACATGAGGCTATGCTTTCTCTGCTCTCTGGCTTTGCCAGTGTGCCTTGGGGGGTGGTTGGGGAGTGGGGGGGACAAAGACACCACCACCTGGTTGCAAACTGCTGGCTTAGAACAATGGTTCTCCACTCTGGCTGTACCTTAGAATCACCTGGAGCTCCACACCCAAGGTCCTGATTTCACTGGTCTGGGGTGTGGCTGGGCCACCGATTTTAAAAGCGCCCCAGGATGTTCTAATATGCAGCCATGTTTGAAACCCACAGGTGTGGATTATTGTTTTCCAAACTGGACTCATTATGAGTCACCTGGGGGTGGCTAAAAATACCCCCCCCCCTTAACTGAATTAGAATCTCCTAGAATTCTCCGGCTTGGTGGACAGCACCGGCCTGAGGTTCCAGAAGCCTGTCTCCCCCAGGTGAAACACCAGGATTCTGCTCAGGGAGGCCTTGACTGTGCTGCCGTGCCCTCCCAGCGCCCCTCTTCACCCTCGGGGTCTGGCCTCCGGCGCCCCTCCTCCCTCCTCTCCTCCGCTGGGACTCTCATCCCAGCCTTCCTCCGCCCCCTCCACTAGCTCCTGGGAGCCAGCAGCCCCTCCTTTCCTCTCCTCCCAGCCGGCGACTCTCAGCCTGGCTTGATTTAGTGGGCGGCGGAGGAGAAAGGCAGCTTGAAAGAGTCTCTAAGAGCTTGGTGCTTGCCAGCACTTATCTGGAAAGGAGAGGCCCCGAGGGGGGAGGGGGGCCGCAGGCTGAACACACCTCGGCGGGGGTGGGGGGTGGGGCTTGGCGAGCCCGCCATCATCACTGCTCTCTGCTGGGGTATTGGCACGGAACCCCTATCTCGGGCTGGAGATGCGGCGGTTACACACCCTCTCCATCCCCGGCGCCAGTTTCCTTTCTGCTCTCCCTGCCATGCACCGATAGGGGTGGAGGGGGAGGCTGGGGAGGGGCAGGGGGACACCCTTGCAGGCTGGGTTCAGCGCTATGCAGCCCGAAGTCAGGAGCTCAAAGAACCCTGGGTTAGGAGGGGTGTCAGGTGGGCTGGACCAGCCTCTTTGGTGGTGCCTTGTGGCTGCTGGCTGCCTTTTTAGGGACGCCCCAAGCCTTTAGGTTGTGCTCGTTCCCCTCCTCCTCCTCCCTGATGAAAAATACAAAGAAAAATGCGCCGGTGCCCAGGTCCGGGAGCCCCAGCCTGCGGGATGGAGAATGAAAAGCGGCCCCAATTAGAGGCTTTGGTTCTGCAAACTTGATGCTCGGCACTTGAACTGTCACGGCGGAGCCTTAATTAGCAGCGGCGGGGGAGAGGTCAGGAACAACTCAGCAGTCTTGACAAGCGCGTTATCAAGTGCAGGGGAGCCGGGGCTGCCCGGGGAGCGCGGGCGGGGCGCGGGGAGTGGAGGGAGGGGATGGCCGGGGCGCTGCGGCGCGCGGGAGGCGGCGCGCGGCCCAGCGGAGCAGGGAGGGAATAAAATGGTTGCTGCGAGCGGCCGCGCAGCCCCGGCTGGTGGTTCGTGAAGCCTCCAGTGGGGGCGCGGAAGGCAGATAGGCTGCTCGGCTCCCTAGCGCCCCGGCACCTCCCCGGGCTGCCCGCGGCAGGCGAGCGGGGGCGCACAGCGCGCGGGGACGCCCCCGGCTGCTCCTTGACCCTCCCCAGGAGTCCCCGGGCTCCACCCCACCCCCGTTTCCCATCCCGAGACCTTCGCAGCTATGCCGTGAGCCCCACTCTGGTCGCACCCCGTGTCCCCGGCCCCGGCGGGCAGGAGAGGGCGCACAGCGCGCTGGGACGCCCCCCGCTGGCCATGCCGGGAAGCCCCTCCTAGAGCCCCGGGTCCCGTGGCTGCGTGCCAGGGGCGCAGCATGCTCGGCCTGAAGACCTGGTCGTCCCTGCTCCAGACCCTCAGTAAGTGTTGGTTCGCCGCCCCGCGGGAGGGTAAGGAGGGGGCCGGGCGGGAACTTCCCCTTGCGCCTCCCGCCTCTCCCTGGGCCTCGATTTACCTCCAGGTCATGCACGTGGTCCCCAGGCACGCAGCCCGTTGAGCCTAGCTTGTCTGTCAACTCGGAAAAGAAGCAAATCGATTTTTTTTTTAAGTAGAACGGCCCCATCTGCCCCGTCTGGCTGCCCCCCTCGTCATCTAGCGCCCCGCCTGTGAGAAGCGTGGAGAATCACCTTCAGGCTTTTGTCTGGGGAAGGAGCCGGTCTGCACCAGCCTTACTCTTTGCCCAAGGATCAGCATTATCCAGGCCAGTTAGCAATCTGAGGCAGGGGTTAGCACTTTCTGGGCCCTCTTGTCATGCAGAAAACCAAGCGCCTGGGAACCAGAAGGCAAAAAACGGGGGCGGGGAGTGGGGGGGAGTGGGTTTCTTTCCCTCTTACTTGCAGAGGCCGAGGCTGAGGCCGTGGGGTGGGATGTGGAGCTTCAACTCTTTGACCACAATGTACCCTCTTCCCACTCCTGGACGCCTGGCATCTCCCTGGGCAGGCCGAGCCCTCCAGGCAGGAGAACTCTCTGGGGTCAAGGCCATGACCTCGAATGGCTGGTGTGGTTAGTTAGGAAGAGAGGTGTCACGGGAGCTTCTGGGGGCTGTACAGAGAAGGAGTTAACAGGGCTCTAAGGTGAAGGTGAGGCCTGGGCAGTGCTGGAGCCACTGAGGTGTTTTGGGCCTGAGGGCAGGCAGAGGGGAAGATGGAGAGAAAGCCGTGAGGTACTGAGGTCCCTCCAGGGTGGCTCTGATGACACACAGGATGGGGAGGTCTCCCTCTCATGCAAGGCCAGACATCTGGCCTCCAAGTGCCTCACGTGCAGCCCCTTTCTTCCAGGTGGGCCAGTGCAGGGAAGAGGGGAGTGGCTGTGGGCCCGCCCAGCTAGGAAGCCAGTATTTGGATGAGCCACATAGCGGACAGGCCAGGGTGCCCCTCCTGCACTCCATTCCATACCCTCGCCCCTGAGGAATGCCGTGGGCATCTCCTGGGCCCCCATGCCCTGCCCCATCTCCCTCCCAGCCCCTCATCTCTAGGCCATATTCATCTCTGGGCCATATTCCTCTCTGCGTCTTTGAACTGTGGCTTTTAAAGTGTCTTACCTTTTGAAGTGCTCACTTCGGCAGCACGTATACTAATAATTGGAACGATACAGAGAACATTAGCATGGTCCCTGTGCAAGGATGACATACAAACTTGTAAAGCGGTCCATATTTTTTAAGAGCCCTAGTGGTGCAGTGGTTAGGTGCTTGGCTGCTAACCGAAAGGTCAGCAGTTTGAACCCACCAGCCACTCTGCAGGAGAAAGATGTAGCAAGCAGTCTGCTCCTGTAAAGATTACGGCCTTGGAAACCCTGTGGGGCAGTTCTACTCTGTCCTGTAGGGTCACTATGAGTCAGAATTGACTCTATAGCAGTGGATTTGATTTTTAGGCCTTTTGAAAGCAGGGGTGGGGGGGTAGGGGGGACGTTTGTGGAGAGGTGGTGAACAGTTGATGATTATAGCTCAGTGGGTAGAAAGAGCTTAAATCCCTGCCCATCAGATGTCGGCTTAGTCTGCTTCCACTGCACTCCTGGGGGGCCGGTGGGGGCAGCAGCTTAGAGGGCCGTGGGGGGGGGCTGTTTTCTCCTTTAAACCCAGTGAACCTGCAGAACTCCTCTTATTTAGGCATTTGTTCACCGCTGCTGTCTGCCTGGCTCCTTCTGATTCTCCTTCCTCCCTGTATCCCCTGGGACCTTAGGAGCCCCAGAAGGACCCTCCCCAACTGTGTGACCTTGGCCAGTCATGCAGCATCCTGGAACCCAGTGTCTTAGTTATCTAGTGCTGCTGTAACAGAAATACCACAAGTGGATGGGTTTAACAGAGAGAAATTTATTCTCTCACAGTCTAGTAGTCCAGAAGTCCAAATTCAAGGTGCCAGCTCCAAGGAAAGACTTTCTCTTTCTGTTGGCTCTGGAGGAAGGTCCTTATCATCAATCTTTCCCTGGACTAGGAGCTTCTCGGCGCAGGGACCCTGGGTCCAAAGGACATGCTATTCTCCTGGCATTACTTTCTTGGTGATATGAGGTCCCCACGTCTTTTCTGCTTGTTTCTGTGTTTTATATCTCAAAAGAGACTGGTTTAAGACACAACCTAATCTTGCAGATTGAGTCCTGCCTCATTAACATAACTGCCTCTAATTCTGCCTCATTAACGTCATAAAAAAACAACAAAACCCAACCCATTGCCATCAAGTTGATTCTGACTCATAGCCACCCTATAGGACAGAGTAGAATTGCCCCACAGGGTTTCCAGGGAGCGGCTGGTGGATTCAAACTGCTGACGTTTTGGTTAGCAGCCAAGCTCTTTAACCACTGGGCCACCAGAACTCCCAATTACCATCATAGAGGTAGGATTTATAACACATTGGAAAATCACAATCAGATGACAAAATCAGATCACACAATACTGGGAATCATGGCCTAGCCAAGTTGACACATATTTTTTGGGGGACATAATTCAATCCATGACATTCAGTTTCCCAGTGGTGGATGGCTGATGGTCACGCAGGTTGCATGGGGTGTCTGCAAGGCCTCGGGGAGTCGCTGTGTGCACCACCATCTGCCTAGGGGGGTGGGTACCTGGCCCACTCACTGTGTGCAGCTGTTAAACGCTACACTTTTCCCCCTTGCACCCCTGCCCCCATCCCAAGCCATCCAGGTGCTGGAAGGGTCCTTGCTTTGTTTCCAAAGCCCAGCTGGAAGGCTGGCTGGAGAGGCCTGTGCTAAGAGGAGCTAGAGAGAACTACTTCACAGGAGCCTCTTCCAGGCACAGTGGGGGGCTCACTATCTGCTTACCTGTCCCTGTGTCACTGTGTCACCCCCTCAGTCCCCACCACAGTGGTAGAGGCACACTGGTTCTGCCTCTCGTTTTGCAGGTGAGGACAGAGGCTCAGAGAGGTTCAGCCCTCTGACCAGGGCCACGGAGCTAGTGAGGAGTGGCCAGTGGGAACCCAGCAATCTGACTTCAGAGACCCGACCTCAGCCAGCTGTCTGTGGCCATGCAGCACCTCTTCCTTCAGCTGGCGAACAGCCCGGTCGCTTCCCCACCCACCTGTCCAGGGTAGCCCCTCATCATGCACAGAGTGGACAGGGGGCCATAAAGTTCTGGCTCTTCCACCTTTGGGTGTATACCCCTGCCTACTATTTCAAGCCCCCACTGCCCCCAACTCTCCAGCCAGCTGAATCCCAGGCCATACCCGTCTCTGCCTGGTGCCTCAGCTATTGTGGGGGTAGCATATAGTGTAATGAAAAAGCCCTGATGGTGCAATGGATGGTTAAGTGCTTAGCTGCTAGTCAAAAGATCGGTGGTTCAAACCCATCAGCAGCCTCGTGGGAGAGAAAGACCTGGTGATCTGTTTTTGTAAAGATTATAGCCTAGGAAACCTTATGGGACAGTTCTGCTCTGTCACATGGGGTCACTAAGAGTTGGAATTGACTTCACGGCACCCAGCAACCACGTAGTGTAACAGCGAAGGGTGTTGGCTGGCTCTGGCTCCTATCCTAGCTCTACCTCTTCATTACTGTGTGATTTGGGGCAAGTAACCTAACCTCACTGTGCCTCAGTCTCCCATCTGTAGAATGGGCATCATGGTCCTGCCTTTGTAGAGTTGGGACTAGGTAAGAATAATGACAGACACACTATCAGGTTAATAAATGCCAACTGCTATTATTTTTCTTCCACCCGGAAAGCCCGTCCTGCTTTGCTCACTGTCTCCTCATGCTGAAAGACCTAGCCTGAATGCCAACCTCCTCTAAGAAGCGTTCCAGATTCTGCCCAGCTATGAGGCATCTCTCCTGTTTCTTCCTGTCTTCGTGGCCCATGTTGTTATTTTTCCTTTGGAATCCACACCTTTGTACTTATTTTCTTTCTACTGTCAGACAGAAGCTCCTTGAGGGAAGATCCTTTTCATTCTTATCTCAGAATATCCCAAGGTACTGTGTATACAGTAGGTGCCCAATAAGTGCTTGTTGGATGAATAGACGGCAACTCCTTCTGGCCAGACGAATGAGTGCTGGGTCCCCCTTCCTGGATGTTCAGTGGGCACTTTGCTCTGATGAATCCTGGAATAACATCCAAGGTCTGTGTGGTTACTTTGAGGCATGTTAGAGTTCATTTCCAAGTTCTCTGAGTGGATAAAGTTGGTGGTGGTGTTGTAGACCCAGCCCTAAGAGCTGCATCCTTGGGACTGGGAGAGAAGGATCAAATCTAGACCCTCACCCCTCCCCTGGCCAGGGGACTGTTGGAATAGGGGCACTTTGGGGGTGATCACATGGTCAGTTGTTGAAAGGGTATGGGGTGGATTGCTCCAATGTCAGGTCAGGGTAACCCCACTTTCTGCCAGCCACACCTGCTCTGCAAGGGCCAGGCTGGAAGGGAGGAATGCTTTCATCTTGTGTTGAAACAGAAGGTTGTTGAGCAGCAGCGACACAGGCTGGGTTGTTGGATTAGTCAGAAAGCAGAGTCATCTCGGAACCCCTGGGAGGTGGATGGGGGCTGCGCGAACCCCACTGGCCCCTTGCCGTGACTTCCGCTGCAAATGGGCTCAGGCCAGGCTCTGCCCCTGGGGTTCTGTGGCCTCAAAGGGGCCCTAATGGCAGACACTCTGGCAGCCCAACTTGCCCGGAGGGGCTAGGGCCGTGGGAGATGGGGTGGCCGTCTGTGCTGACCCTCCTGATAGGACCTCTGCCAGTGGTGGAGACTAGTTGGAGGCGAAGAAGGCAGCCTTGTACATGCTTTTGTTTTCCAGTTTTGCAATTAAGTTTTTGCATTATGTAAAAAGAAAAATCTCTAGAAACGCTGAGAAAGGAAGGAGAAGACAAAATGAAGAAATAGGACTGAGCTGGTAGTTGAATTGCCAGGGTCCTGGGTTTAGCATGGTCTTCAGCAGGTAGGTTGCTAGTTAGCAGGAGGCATCTGTTTCTCTGCTGTTGTCTGGTGCAGCCATTAGGAGCCTGGGTCCGGAGCCAGATGGCCTGGGTTTGCACCCGAGATCTGCCTCTTATTGGCTGTGCGCCCTTGGGCAAGACACTTAACCTCTCTGTGCCACAGTTTTTCCTCACTTACAAAAGGGGAAAATTTATAGCACCTACCTTGGTGGCACAGTGGTTAAGAACTTGGCTGCTAACGAAAAGGTCAGCAGTTCAGATCCACCAGCCGTTGCTTGGAAACCCTGTGGGGCCGTTCTGCTCTGTCCTATAGGATTTACTATGAGTCAGAAATGACTCGATGGCACGGGGTTTGGTTTTGGATCTGGTTGGAGTTCCGAGTGGTGCAAACGGTGTATGCACTTGGCTGTTAACTGAAAGGTTGGAGGTTTGAGTCCACCCAGAGGCACCTCGGAAGAAAGGCCTCGTGGTCTGCTTCTAAAAAATCAGCCATTGAAAACCCTATGACACGCATGGGGTCATCATGAGTTGGAGTTGACTTGACGGAAATGGGTTTGGTGGTGTCTTTATAAGAAGAAGGGAGGACAGAGGGAGATGGCCATATGAGGATGGCAGAGATTGGAGTGATGGAGCCACAAGCCAAGGAATGCCTGGGACCACCAGAAGCTAGAAGAGACAAAGAAGGATCCTCCCCCAGAGTTTTCAGAGGGAGCATGGCCCTGCTGACATTTTGAGTTCAGACTTCTGGCCTCCAGAGCTGAGAGAGGGTAAATTTCTGTTGTTTTGAGCCACCCAGTGTGTAGTGCTTTGTTACAGCAGCCACAGAAAACTCGTATACCATATTGTCCCCCTTTACATTTTTTTTCTGAATATGCAAGGCACATCTTTTTTACTAGTTAAGCTAAACTACTATTTAGTTTTAAGAAGACTTCAGGACACATTTTTGGTTTAAGGTTTAAAGATCATCTCAGGGCAGTAGTTTCAGGGATTCATCTACCCTTCATGGCTCCAGAAAGTCTGGAGTCCATGAGAATTTGAAATTCTGTTCTGCAGTGCCTCCCTTTTGATCGGGATTCTTCTGTGGAATCTTTGATCAAAATGTTCAGTAATGGTAACTGGGTACCATCCAGTTCTGGTTTCATGGCAAAGGAGGCAATTGTTCATGGAGGAGGCAACATATTCCATATCCTCCTATTCCTAACTCCTTTCTCTGTTACTCCAGGTGAATAGAGACCAGTTGTGCCTTGGATGGCTGCTTGCAAGCTTTTAAGACCCCAGGTACTACACAACGA